GATCACAGAGGTCATATATATATATATAGGGCTAACAAAATTTTGTGTGAAAAGAATTTTTGTGGGAGAAACATTTTTCATCAAATTTATTAACATCAACATTGTATTTTAAAATTTATTATTAATTATTGGAGAAAATATAATGAATATTGCTTGGCCACTTAATAAAGCTGAGAGATAATAAAAAACATATATCATAGAATATATATTTAGTAATGATGGGTAGGCACGAATATTATTGTTGGTGATGAAAAAAAATAAGTCGATGAGCATAAATATAGATGTTAATGATAAACATTAGCTTTATTGAACATCAAAAATATTTATCACAAATAAATTCGGCACCTAACGAGAAGATGACATGGCGGTCTCAAACACATCAGGGGTAGTTTGAGAGTTAACACTTACCTTCCTGGCTCCTGCTGGCTGGGAGAAAAATAACACAGAATGTACTAGTGAGTTCAAGGAAGAGTTTGTGCTGTGAGAAATACAGAAAATGAGGACCCGAATAGTGAACCAGTGTCAGGCCAGGTTACAGAGGTTATGAGGGTTGTCATAGACATAGGAGGCGAACAGGCTTCTCGAGAGCAAAACCCACCTCAAGAGGTGGTGGTGCTTGTGGACAACGATAGAAGGTTGAACCATGGTCCGTAGAGGCTTAGAGATTCATTGTACCAGGACAACACTGGAGCTGCGCCGGTCTAGAGGCAGTGTTTCGGGGACACTAAGGCCCAATGCAAGCTGGGGAACTCCTTCTCATTTCACATCTCAAGATCCGAGCCCTCCGAGAAGTTAGCGATGGAGGCTTATAGGGGTTGGTCATATGTCAATGACCACATAGCTTTGTTTGTGTCAACAATGTGCTTGCTTAAGATTTCAGAGGCATTCAATTGTCGTATATTTTTTATCTCCTTCAGATTATGGCCTGGAAGTGGTTCAACTCGCTTCAGGCAGAAAGCATCACCAGCTTTGCGGATTATAGGATATGTAAGTCCTAGCGATGGCTCCAAAATATGATCTACTCCTTAACAACTTGATTAAATCCTTAAAACTAGATATTCTTGCACATTAGGGTTTCTCACGCAAGTATACATATCATTTCAGTAATATAGGGCTCTATTGAGTCCGGATTGTCAATCCCACCGAGAAAGTTGAAGGTATTAACTCCTTTAAGAAAAGTTATAGTCTACTACTAATAGGTCTTAGTTTGGAATATTGATTTAAGCGGTTTTACTAGCAACTACTCTTAAATTACAATAATAAGTCTAAAGCTAAACCTAATTAGATCAAATGGATCAGTGAATATCAAGATGTAAAAGCTACATATCTCCTTTGATTGGATAAGTGGATTGTAGAATCAAATACTATGAAATGTAATTATAGCTAGTGAAAAATAGAAGCAAATATCTTGTTTACCCTCCTCCGAGCACGTAAAGAAGTTTTGTTTACCTTAGTAAATGTTCCTCTCTGTCACCTTAAAAACCCCCCAGTTATACCCATCGAATTCTTTCCTTATATATTTGCATTGCCCTATGGACTACTTTTCCTTCACCCACTAATTCAATGTGATATTCCTAGCCGTCATGTCATTGCTCTTCCAAGTCTTATGGGTTCACAACAAATTTTAACATATCGTTTGACTAGAATGATAAGAAAAAGATGCACAAAAGGAAAGTTCATCACAGTAAGATTTAATGATCAATTCTATAAGCATTCTAGTGTCTGCCGATTACTTTCTTGTGAAAAAATTGGGGGGGGGCGGCGGGGCGAGCGATGAAGAAGGAAAATAGAAACTTGGTTTATATGAATAAATGCTTGGTTTGATGTGTAAACTATTTATTTTTAAATTTGTGAGAAAATATTATTTTTTTAATAATAATTTAAAAATTATGAAATATGTAGAAGAATTTTTATTCTTATAAAAGTATTTCTAATTTGACATAGTGGTTAATAATAATTTCTTATCGCGAGAACGCTGGTTTGAATTTATTATTATTATTATTTTGAGCTCAACTTTCTCAAAAAAAATAATGTTTATTATGTGCCGATTGTTGGTTGCTAAAGAGTACATATATATTTTTGTGTGAAAAGAGTTATTGTGGGAGAAACTTTTTTTTTTCAAAGTTATTAACTTCAACAATGTATTTTACAATTTATTATTGATTATTGGAAAAGATATAATGTGTAGGAACAAATATTATTGTTGATGATGGAAGAGGATAACTCGACGAGCATAAGTATAAATGTTATTGAGAAACATTAGTTTTATTGAACATCAAAAATGTTTTATCACGAACAAATCCAACACCCAACAGAGAAGATTACTTGGCGGCCTGGGACTCATCTGGGATAGTTCGAGAGTCCACATTTACTTGCCCTGCTCCTAATAGTTGGGGGAAAAATAACTTAGAATATACTAGTGAGTTCAAGGAAAAGTTTGTGCAGAGAGATACAAAAAAATGATGACCCAAAGAGCGAACCAGATGTTATTCTAGATCACAGAGGTCATAAGTACTGTCACAACCCTAGGAGGTGAACGAGCTTCTTAAGGGCACAACCCTCCTCAAGAGGTGGTGCGTGTGCACCACGACAACATGTTGAGTAATGGCCCGGAGAGGCCCATAGATTCGTAGTACCAGGACAACACTAGATTTGCACAAGTTGAGAGGCAATGTTTCTGGGGCACTAAGTCCTAATTCCAGTCGAGGAACTCCTACTCTTTTCACATCTAAAGAGTCGAGCCCCTTGAGAAGTTAGCGTGGGAGGCTTATAGGGGTCGGTCAAATCCCAACAACTACATTGCTTTGTTTGAGTCAGCAAAGTGCTTGCTCAAGATTTCAGGCGCATTCAAGTGCGTATATTTTTCACTACCTTGAGATCATCGACCTTGAGGTGGTTCAACTTGCTTCTGGCCAAAATCATCAGCAGCTTTGTAGATTTCATGAGAATTTTCTTCGAACAGTTTGCAAACGCCCAGAGGGCCAGAAGATTGTGCAGTCCTTATGACAACTTAAACAAAGGCTGAATGGGATCCTGTGTTCGAACATCCTACAATTCCAGAGGGAGATGCTAGAGGTGAAAGGTCTCTGATCCCTGTGGTGCATGCCACCCTAAAGCAAGGGCTGGGGTCTGAGAGGTTCTGCTATGACCTCAGTTTGAATGAGCCCCAGGATTTGGCCCATTTGTTGGAAATGCCCTACAAGCACATCATCACCATAAAAAGCATCCCTCAACCAGAACCGACGCACCGCCGGACCCATAAGAGAGCCCCAAAGAGTAGCGAGTGGAAACCGAAGGAGAATCCCAAAGCACTCGTTCGACTACGGTACAAAGAAAATTGACCCATTCGCGACAATAGAGGGGGTCGAAGTAACCATCTGAGAGATCAAGCAAATGAAACCAGTGAGAGTCGAAGCCTTTCTTCAGGGACATGAGGAGGTATTACAAGTACCATTTGGATCATGATCATGATATGGAGAATGCAAAAACCTTCGAAACCTAATTGAGGAACTGATCAAGGCTGAAAAGATAAAGGAATTTGTGGCAGCAGAGACCTGGGGCCAAAGGCACTGTAAGGCTTTGGTAGTAGAATTCCAAGACGAACTTGTCTAGATGAATGCTATCCACATTTTTTGGGATATTCCTGACTATTCTAGAGGAAAAAATCATCCCGACGAGCCTCCTAGATGAGGTTTTGGATGAGAGAATTGTATAATTTCGCGTCCGTGCAGAGGATGAGGAGTTGTCCCCATTACATTCACCAATGATGATTTGCCCCTCAAGAGAAATCCCTACAATTACTCCATCATTATAACTAGAATAATAAGTAATTTCTCAGGTTGAGAGTATCCTACTCGACACCGGCAACTTAGTGAATATTCTACTTAATTCAACATTCGATGAGCTCAATCCTTGAACTGGCCAACTAGTAGAGCTTACCGAACTCGTATATGACTTTTTAGGAGAAAGGAAGGAAGCCCTATGTGTGATGTCACTAGTGGTTACCTGGGGAGAAGGTGCGAAGCAATTACTGAGATTGAAGACTTCTTGATAGTAGACTCACCGCCCACCTATAATGCCAATTTTGACCACCCGCTATTGAAGCGTTTCAAAATTGCGGTATCCACATGTCATGTAGTTGTCAAGTTTCCAGGAGATGGAGAGGTGATCACAGTCTGAGTAGATCTAGTGCAATCTCAGATCTGCTACCTCTAGAAGGTAGAAAACATGGAGCAGCCGCTTAACCTGTAGAACTGGAGGGCATGGGTTCTCGAGATCAGTAAGACAACCCTAAAGAATTATGTCGTCGATGAAGATCTCGATAAATTATTTCTAAAAAGCAAAAACTGCGAAACAATTCTATTGGATCAGCTGTTACAAATGGTTGATGGCATCATTTTATGATGTCACATGTTTGGGATGTCCACTTGAATGACCTGGGGTTATTTCAAGCATACATAGCTTCCTAGAGCTCAAGACATCCATTTGAGATTCTATGACATGCTTCGGGCAAAAAATTAAGGTTTACTTTGACATAGCCGTATCCAAGGGTTCTCACCATTGGTCTACATTAATTTTGATGTACCACAT